ACACGTGTAATTAGTAAAAAATATACGAGAGCACTTCTTCAATGCAACAACAGAGTTTGCTCGAGCAAGGAATGTGCAAGTTAAGAATTGTAAGATAAATTTAGGATCTATTGTTATGACACTTGACCCACATAGGTCAGATCCTGTGAACCTACACAGGTCAGGTCCTGTGATCCCACATTGGTCAGGTCCTGTGAACCTACACAGGTCAGGTCCTGTGAACCTACACAGGTCAGGTCCTGTGATCCCACATTGGTCAGGTCCTGTGAACCTACACAGGTCAGGTCCTGTGAACCCAAAAAGGTCAGGTCCTGTGAACCCACATTGGTCAGGTCCTGTGAACCCAAAAAGGTCAGGTCCTGTGAACCCACATAGGTCAGGTCCTGTGAACCCACATAAGTCAGGTCCTGTGAACCCACATAGGTCAGGTCCTGTGAACTACGTCAGGTTCTGATATAGGTCAAGACCTGACATAGGACGGGTCCTGTGTGATTCAGGTCCAAATCAAAGGCAACAAGTACAAACTGGAGAGTTTATAAATAAGCACTTTGACAACATGAAGCTGGTTAACATGACAGTTGACGAAACTGATGAAGGAACATGTCAGTGGCTCTTGCCATACCTCATACCAGCCCCTACTATAGTTGACAGGTCACCTCATACCAGCCCCTACAGTAGTTGACAGGTTACCTCATACCAGCACCTACAGTGGTTTACAGGTCACCTCATACCAGCACCTACAGTGGTTTACAGGTCACCTCATACCAGCACCTACAGTGGTTTACAGGTCACCTCATACCAGCCCCTACAGTAGTTGACAGGTTACCTCATACCAGCACCTACAGTGGTTTGCAGGTCACCTCATACCAGCACCTACAGTGGTTTACAGGTCACCTCATACCAGCACCTACAGTAGTTGACAGGTCACCTCATACCAGCACCTACAGTGGTTTACAGGTCACCTCATACCAGCACCTACAGTAGTTGACAGGTCACCTCATACCAGCACCTACAGTGGTTGACAGGTCACCTCATACCAGCACCTACAGTGGTTGACAGGTTACCTCATACCAGCACCTATAGTGGTTGACAGGTCACCTCATACCAGCACCTACAGTGGTTGACAGGTCACCTCATACCAGCACCTACAGTGGTTGACAGGTCACCTCATACCAGCACCTACAGTGGTTGACAGGTTACCTCATACCAGCACCTATAGTGGTTGACAGGTCACCTCATACCAGCACCTACAGTGGTTGACAGGTTACCTCATACCAGCACCTATAGTGGTTGGCAGGTCACCTCATACCAGCACCTACAGTGGTTGACAGGTTACCTCATACCAGCACCTATAGTGGTTGACAGGTCACCTCATACCAGCACCTACAGTGGTTGACAGGTCACCTCATACCAGCACCTACAGTGGTTGACAGGTCACCTCATACCAGCACCTACAGTGGTTGACAGGTCACCTCATACCAGCACCTACAGTGGTTGACAGGTCACCTCATACCAGCACCTACAGTGGTTGACAGGTCACCTCATACCAGCACCTACAGTCTCATATCTAGACGTAGAGCAACAAGTGGGGAGTCCCTCCATATACACTGCCTAGATAATGTCGAGACTAACGGTTCAGACGAGAGCTTGACATACTGGTCACGCTGTCTCTAACAATCAGAGACAGAAATGAATAACATTTGTAAAGAATTAGGCTCCGTCATTCACATAATTTATTATTATGTACACTACAGACTGCACTTAACAATTATTATTCTGCTTCTGAATGGCCGAACGAGAGAACAATAGTCTCCTAGAGGAATGGGAAATCAATCTTGCTGTCTCCTGCGCCTGTGCCCTTACCTCATGTGTCCTAATGTTTTGGAGGTACCATGCATAAACAATATTTACACTTTTGTACTGTATTTTACCATATGTCAATTTGGAATCAACTGTGGTATTTTAACTTTACAACGCAATCATTACGAGTCCTCTCAGTGTTGTAGCAACCATGCTGAAGCCAGGCGTTCATTAGTGTCGTGCAGCAACCATGCTGAGGCCAGGCGTTCATTAGTGTCGTGCAGCAACCATGCTGACGCCAGGCGTTCATTAGTGTCGTGCAGCAACCATGTTGAGGCCAGGCGTTCATTGGTGTCGTGCAGCAACCATGCTGAGGCCAGGCGTTCATTAGTGTCGTGCAGCAACCATGCTGAGGCCAGGCGTTCATTGGTGTCGTGCAGCAAACATGCTGAGGCCAGGCGTTCATTGGTGTCGTGCAGCAACCATGCTGAGGCCAGGCGTTCATTGGTGTCGTGCAGCAACCATGCTGAGGCCAGGCGTTCATTAGTGTCGTGCAGCAACCATGCTGAGGCCAGGCGTTCATTGGTGTCGTGCAGCAAACATGCTGAGGCCAGGCGTTCATTGGTGTCGTGCGGCAACCATGCTGAGGCCAGGCGTTCATTGGTGTCGTGCAGCAACAATGCTGATGCCAGGCGTTCATTGGTGTCGTGCAGCAACCATGCTGAGGCCAGGCGTTCATTGGTGTCGTGCAGCAAACATGCTGAGGCCAGGCGTTCATTGGTGTCGTGCAGCAACCATGCTGAGGCCAGGCGTTCATTGGTGTCGTGCAGCAACCATGCTGAGGCCAGGCGTTCATTGGTGTCGTGCAGCAACCATGCTGAGGCCAGGCGTTCATTGGTGTCGTGCAGCAAACATGCTGAGGCCAGGCGTTCATTGGTGTCGTGCAGCAACCATGCTGAGGCCAGGCGTTCATTGGTGTCGTGCAGCAACCATGCTGAGGCCAGGCGTTCATTGGTGTCGTGCAGCAACCATGCTGAGGCCAGGCGTTCATTGGTGTCGTGCAGCAACCATGCTGAGGTCAGGCGTTCATTGGTGTCGTGCAGCAAACATGTTGAGGCCAGGCGTTCATTGGTGTCGTGCAGCAACCATGCTGAGGCCAGGCGTTCATTGGTGTCGTGCAGCAAACATGTTGAGGCCAGGCGTTCATTGGTGTCGTGCAGCAACCATGCTGAGGCCAGGCGTTCATTGGTGTCGTGCAGCAACCATGCTGAGGCCAGGCGTTCATTGGTGTCGTGCAGCAACCATGCTGAGGCCAGGCGTTCATTAGTGTCGTGCAGCAAACATGCTGAGGCCAGGCGTTCATTGGTGTCGTGCAGCAACCATGCTGAGGCCAGGCGTTCATTGGTGTCGTGCAGCAACCATGCTGAGGCCAGGCGTTCCTGTGCCAAGGTGTACCTCCTCTTACCTTAGTTTAACTGTGACTGAGGTATATCTAATTATGATCTCCATGATGGTAAATCTGTCCTTGTTAATGTACGTTGTATACATTATACACAGTGTAAATATTGTACATTAGTTTTTATTGTTAACTAGTTCTAGTTCAATGTGGCTGCTAGTCCGCTACTGAGTCTTGAATTCCAATAGTTAAAATATATTTTGTTTGGTTTTAATTCCGAGAACATACCCTTGACTCTTTATTAACTTTTATATTTTTAGCAATTTCGAGAACAGGTTGTTTCACTCTGGGACACCGTAACTGTTCACTCTGGGACACCGTTTCTCTTCACTCTGCCACACCGTTTCTGTTCATACTGACACACCGATACTGTTCACACTGATACACCGTTTCTGTTCAGTCTGACACACCGATACTGTTCACACTGACACACCTTTTCTGTTCACTCTGGCACACCATTTCTGTTCATTCCGACACAGCCTTAATGTTCACTCTGGCACGCCGTTACTGTTCACACTGACACACTGTTAATGTTCACTCTGACACACCGTTTCTGTTCACTCTGACACACCTTTTCTGTTCACTCCGACACAGCGTTAATGTTCACTCTGACATACCTTTTCTGTTCACCCTGACACACCGTTAATATTCACTCTGACACACCTTTTCTGTTCTCTCTGACACACCGTTACTGTTCACTCTGGAACACCGTAACTGTTCACCCTAGAACACCGGTACTGTTCACTCTGGGACACAGTAACTGTTCACTTTGACACACCGTTACTGTTCACCCTAGAACACCGTAACTGTTTACTCTGGGACATCGTAACTGTTCACTCTGACACACCGTTTCTGTTCACTCTGACACACCGTTACTGTTCACTCTAGAACACAGGTACTGTTCACTCTGGGACATCGTAACTGTTCACTCTAGAACACCGGTACTGTTCACTCTGGGACATCGTAACTGTTCACTCTGGTACATCGTAACAGTTCTTGATAAAATAATTTAATGCATTGCATGATTTCAAGGTTTTAGAAGATCAGTTGTGTGTAAGTTTGTCTGTTGGTCTCGTTTGTTTCTTGATTTGCTGCTCTGTGTTACCACTTACGGATTGAATGATTGGAATTTCTTGGTTGCTGTTTAATTACCTTACTTCTCTATGCAAATGGTGGAGAATCTTCGCCTATCTAACTGGTCAATCGAGAATATTTCATGTGTTTTTCATTTCCGACTTTGTGTCAAGTTTATAATAATTAATGCAGGTGAATTGCAAGATTGCAGGTGACCATCGATAGTATATTCATTGAGGATCCTCAAGGCTCTGTTTTTGCTATGGCTCTGGTTATATTAATTGTTAATATTAAATAAGGATATATTATGATGGAATGAAAGCGTATAAAGCTTCTTGTAAATTTATTTGTATATGGTAACTAATGGACTAAACTGCACGTTCGCAATACAATGTGATTAATATTTTCCAAGTGATTAAAGAGTCCATCAATGTAGAATATTGTCAGTCACACGCTCTAGGCAGAGTACCTGCACACTTAGAGTGAGACCAGCAGCCAGGTCACACGCTCTAGGCAGAGTACTAGCACACTTAGAGTGAGACCAGCAGCCAGGTCACACGCTCTAGGCAGAGTACTAGCACACTTAGAGTGAGACCAGCAGCCAGCTCACACGCTCCAGGCAGAGTACCTGCACACTTAGAGTGAGGCCAGCAGCCAGCTCACACGCTCTAGGCAGAGTACTAGCACACTTAGAGTGAGACCAGCAGCCAGCTCACACGCTCCAGGCAGAGTACCTGCACACTTAGAGTGAGACCAGCAGCCACGTCACACGCTCCAGGCAGAGTACCAGCACACTTAGAGTGAGACCAGCAGCCAGCTCACACGCTCCAGGCAGAGTACCAGCACACTTAGAGTGAGACCAGCAGCCAGCTCACACGCTCCAGGCAGAGTACCAGCACACTTAGAGTGAGACCAGCAGCCAGCTCACACGCTCCAGGCAGAGTACCAGCACACTTAGAGTGAGACCAGCAGCCAAGATGACAAACATACCCTGCAATAACAAGTTAACTCTGTGAGTGGTCAAGATGTGCAAACTTACACATTATGAACATCATATTTACCGATATCAGAATTTCCTAGTATAAATGTTATCATATATATATATATATGCAAGTAAATGTGAGAGAGGTGCATTACCCAGATGTTGTTAAGAGAGAGAGACTCCTGGACGGTGATGGTGGTGGGAGCCTGGTAACACACAGTGGAGTTGGGCTCCGCCGCCTTCATCCAGTACCTGAACAGTCCCGCCTCCGTCACCGCGCGGATCCTTTCACACCATAACAGTTTTAATTAGCAATTTTTAAAACATTTAACTTTATTCTTCATCTAATGAAAATTATTTGTTCGTGATATTTATTATAGGACATAATATATACGTTAGTATATGTCTCATTGTGAGTGTTTTTTTGTTTATTTCTTTAAATAATTAAATTTAATATAAATATTTATAGTAAATTAATATAACTATAGGCAAACATATGGAATCATACTTAATTATAAATCAATCAAATAAAAAGACTGCATAAAAAATTGACAAATATATATATATATATATATATATATATATATATATATATATATATATATATATATATATATATATATATATATTCCTAATAGCCAGAGTGCACTACTCGGCCTAATATACAAGATCCGATTTCCCTACTAAGAACATAAGAATAGAGGTAACTGCAGGCCAATTGGCCTTTCCGAGACAGCTCCTATTTATAACCACCCAATCCCACTCATATATGTCCAACCCACACTTGAAACAATCAAGAAACCCTAACTCCATCACGTTATACGGTAGCTGGTTCCATAAATCAACAATCCTGTTACCGAACTAGTATTTACCCAGGTATTTCCTAAATCTAAACTTATCTAATTTATACTCATTGTTTAGTGTTCTGTACTAGGTTCTGTAAATCACTCTACTAGGCAGTGATTTTCGTTATTTTCCAAATACTGTTTTTCTTTTGCCGTATTTGAATTATTATTATTACATTATATTAAGAATATTATTATATTATATTAAGAATATTATTATATTATATTAAGAATATTATTATATTATATTATATTAAGAATATTATTATATTATATTATATTAAGAACATTATTATATTATATTATATTAAGTTCTTATATTAAGATCATGAATTACTGACTTATTATGTTAATTTAGGTACGGTTAAGATAGGTTAGGTTAGGTAGGGTAGGTTTGGTCATATTTCTATGTTAGTTTTACCTGAAATTAAAAAATGTAATCATCTATATAAATATAAATTTAAATGTTCATTTGCTCAAAATTGCTAATCTCCGACAGTTATTAACCGATTGCTTTGAAATTTTCACGCAAAGTTACATTCGCATCCGAGCGGGTTTTTATATATACAATATATAGATGTCACGTCTGTGACGTGAAAAAACAAGCTATTTTTAAATTGTCTTTTCATGTGAGGGAAATCTTCATTTCAGTTTCGTTCATTTATTATGCAAACTATACCCATCTTGTGGGTGGTAGTGGAAAGGGTTACAGACGCACATAATCCTTCCCACTACCGTCCACAACATGGGTATGGGGTGCATAATAAATGAACTAAATTGAAATGAAGAATTCCCTCACATGAAAACACAGTTTAAAAAAAATAGCAAGCTTTTTCACGTCACAGACGTGAATCTTTGAAACCTCTTTTCCGATTGCTTTGAAATTTTGACACAACGTTGCATTCGAATAGGCTCGTCTTTTTATATACCTACTATATACATGCCTCACCTGTGACAGGATTTTTTTCTTTTTAACACAGCTATCTGTTGGACGTAAGAGCAACACACGCTGTAATCTCCAAAAATTCTTCACCTATTGCTCTGAAATTTTGACACAAGTTTCCATTCGAATACGCACATATTTTTATATGCCTACTATATAGATGCCACACGTGTGACAGGTAAAAATATGCTTTAAAATGAAATTGCCATCTGTTGAACGTAATAAGAACACATGCTATAATAATTATGTTCGATTCCTTTTCAGTGTTTCCAGTTTAATTGATAAATTGAATTTTCATAGAGTTCAATTTATTTTCATTTTGATTTAATTATTTTGTTTGACATTGCGTGGGAATTGAGCTGTGTTGTTTACTATACTGTTCATTTTGTAAGTATAAGTATAGGTGCCACACCTGTGACAGTTAAAAACATTTTTTTTTTAAGAAACAGTGCCATCAGTTGCACGTAAGAGAAACACACGCTGTACCAAATATGTTACGATTCCATTTCAGTGTTTCTGATTGCATTGAAAAATTGGAAGTTTCATAGATTTCGATTTATTTTCATTTGATTTAAATATTTTGTGTGACATTGCATTGGAATTGATCTGTGTTCTTTACCATACTGTTCATTTCGTGAGTATAAGTATAGATGCCACACCTGTGACTGGTAAAAACAGACTTTTTTTGAAAAACAGCATCATCTGTTGCATGTAAGAGCAACCACACACTATAATAAATATGTTACTATTCCAGTGTAGTGTTTCCAATTTCAATGACAAATGGAATTTTCATACTTATCAATTTATTTTTATTTTTATTTAACTATTTTGTGTGACATTGTGTTGGAATTGAGCTGTGTTGTTTACCCTTCCGCTCATTTCGTGAGTATAGTTTATTTTTTTATTTTTTCAGTGTTTTTCATTTCGTTTTTTAACTGTCCTTTGATATTTGATTGTTTTTCCTGTTTTTCTTATATTTCAGTGATGAGAACATCAGATCATTAGATGTTCCCAATTTTCTGATGGGAACATCAGATTATTTGGGAATGCATCAGATGAAGGATTGGGGAATGGTGGGGAGGACGAGGGAACAGGTGTGGGGAATGATGGGGAGGATGTAATAACCATTGAACTCTCTTGTAATAGTTTTGAACGCTACCCATGTTGTAACTCTCTCTCTCTCTCTACTCTTTCCCTTCATCCAATACCCCAGCTTAACACTGTTACAGTCCAGTATGACCCCTCACTGGACTGCCATGAATATAAACTGACTATTAAATGAGGAGGACATAACAAGGATAGGGGTTATTAATTTATAACTAATAATTAAAATCATCAAACACTGCCACCACCTTCCCAACATAAATGAATATGTCTAAATTATTGGTTCCCTAGGAAGGAAGGGACTCAGTAATTAGGGAACTCAAAGGGCACGTAAATGAACCTTCATGGATTAATACTGTAATCTTACTGAACTGATCGGCAATGGCAATGTAATACTGAAATATACATAACCTAAATGCACAATTACCTTCAATACTGCAGCTTGCCAAAGGATCAAGTCACAATCGACTTGAGAATGGTCCAGGACGGACCGAAACATCGTCGTCCCTTCAACTTCTAATGTGTGGTCTGGTCAACTTGCCAAAGGATGTTGATTGGCTGCCCGCAGGTCACCTGACCTGTACCTCAGTTGAGGCCCCCAAGACACACTAACTAATCTTTATTAAAAACGTTTACCAGTGGGACAGGCTCCACCCCCCTAGTTCCTAGGCCCAAATTAACTCCGCCTATCCCAAGCCTATGGCCAATAGATTTAAACATAACTAGGTGATCTAGAATCCGGGCCAATGGCATGAACAAGCACTACCCTGTGAGGCCCCGTCTCCACAGGCCTACATGTCTTCAACCAATCCGGATCAGGCTTGACCATAAGGGTCAATTCCTCTTGACAGAAAACTCCAAAAACTGGGAAGGCACCAACGATTTTCCTGTGGGAATACCAGCTGGACACCCATGTGTAACTTGAGATCACAAGTTTATTGGCCCTGAGGTACTATTTTCAATTCGTCACTGGACAGATGGACAGGAGAGCGAGGGGAGCAAGTGGCTTCAAACTGTTTATGACCACGAGGGTCAGACCGTGACAAATGGAAAGGATGACCCAAAGGGAGGGAAGGCAAGCGAGGGAAGGAAAGGGGAAGAGGAAGAGGAAGAGAAAGGGGGAAGTTGGAAGGGGAAAGGGGGAAGGAGCTATGGTGTGCATATATCATTACAACTCCCCCTCTTTGGAAATTAAGAAATTTGTGTGTAAAGAAGTTTAAAGCACGAATTTCATATCCTGAAATTCTGCCCTATCATAATAATTAACTCCAGAAACAACATTTAACTCAACAATAAATGACCCAATGCCTCAAAACAACAGAAATAGTTATCTAATCCTAACTAATTCCATACAATCCCCCAAAACAAATAATGGCACCCACAAAAGGTGTGCTCCAGCATGTATACATACATAACAAACACAGTAATAATACATAAAACATTAAACATAAGGTCAGAGACCGTCCCTATAATCCTGGCTGTCCACTTGGATGCAGCCCTCTACCCTTTCAACTACCTGGAAGATAAAACATCCTATATCTGTCTTGATATAGTAACAAATAACTGAAAAAATCCAAACCTAACTACTATCAACTATCTAAAATCAGCAGATAGCCTTCAGCTATCCCAGTATTCCACCTGGAATAAAGATCAAACACATCACAGCACATCACATAGAAACATTACAAAAAATCAATGTCAATAAAAATTAAAAAAAATCAAATAGAGAACACTACCCTTCAGGGTCCTCGTGTTCCACTCCACACCGCATGTACCATTACAAGGAGGAGGGGACAGGAGAGTGGGTAATGGTGGGGAAGACGAAGGGACGGGGGAATTGGAGATGGTGGGGACAATGGACAGGGGAATGGAGAATGGTGGGGAGGACAAGGGGACAGGGGAGTGGGGGATTGTGGGGAGGACGAGGGGATGGGGGATGGGGGAATGGTAGGGAGGACTAGGGGACGAGGGAGTGCGAGATGGTAGGTAGGACGAAGGGACGGTGGAGTAGAAATGGTTAGGAGGACAAGGGGATTGTGGAGTGCGGTATGGTTGGGAGGACGAGGGGACAAGGAAGTGAGAAATGGTTGAGAGGAGGAGGGGACAGGGGAGTGAGGAATGGTTGGACGGATGAAGGGACGCTGGAGCGGAATATGGTGGGGAGGACTGGGAGACAGGGGAAGTTTGCTGTGGCTCTGCAACTCTCATGCATTGCTGAACCACAATAACACGTGGCCGGGTACAGCTAGTATATAAATAGTAACTGAAAGCATTATCATTTCATTAGAAACAAATTTAGAAAAATATATAACTTCACGAAAATTCGGCTTGTTATTCAACTAAGGCCTTGTATAGTCGACCAAGTAGTGCATTCAGGCTATGTCGGAAATTCC